TGGATTCGAGGAATGAGCCGAGTGTATTGTTTTTGAATTCTGTTCCATTGTCAGTTCTGATTTTCTGAACTAGTAGTTGCAGATTGTTTTGAATTGTCTTTAAGAAAGAGATTATTGTCTCAGCCGCTTCATCCTTTGACCTCAGAAAATGAACCCAGGTAAATCAGGAATAGTCATCGACTATGACTAACACATACTTCTTACCATTTATGCTTTGAACTTGCATAGGACCGCAGAGATCCATATGGAGTAAGTGTAGAGAACGTTCGGTGTTGAACTCTGTCTTCAGCTTATGTGAAGTTTTCTTCAGTTTGCTCATCTCACATGTACCGCACATATGGTCTTTATGGAACTTTAGGTCTGGGATGCTTTTAACCAAGTTGTCGTAGACCAACTTGTTCAGATATTTGAAGTTCAAGTGCGAAAGACGCCAATGCCATAGCAAATTCTGCTTCATTGATCAATATCATTATCTAAACAAACATCTGAATTCAAGATATTTGAAAAATTAATTTCTTCATTAAAAATATTTATCTCTTCTGAATCAGAAGCTTCACTTAAAGATTTATCGCACGAAAAATACTCAGACTCAACATGTTCCGTTTTTGCTTTAAAATTTTGTAAATCTTCAATTTTATTTAAAAGTTCTTGTTTTTGTTTATTAAATGAAAGTCGTTCTTCAGTTAAAATGTTTGGTTCAGCAAGTTTTGATTCAAGCTCTGCTTTGGAATAACTATGAAAATAATCTGTTGAAAGTGCAGAGTCTTGATTTTTATAACTTTCATTTAAGTTTGTATAGTCAAACGGAACCTCCATTTTGTCTTTTCTTTGTCGATTGAAATCTTTTCGTTGTTCCACCTCATCAGAAGATTTTGTAAATTTTATTGAAAACTCGGGTCCGCAATGTCGAAGGACTTGGACATAATCTGTTTAGCATAGGTCAATTTTGTGATAAGAATTTAGAAGTCTGTTTTAAAGYTARYCAATGCAGCATCCGAACTACTGATGGTAAGGAGCTCTTAGCTGGAATCAGAAGATCAAATCTCTACACGATTGACCTATCCAACACACAAGTAGATATTGATACAAATCTGATTATGATCTTCAAGAATTAGAACAAGATGAAGTTTAGAGAGATTATCCCCAAATCTCTTGTAGATTTCTTGAGAGAGAATTACAATGCTAATCAGAAAATTACAGAGTTGTTAATGACAAATTACAAAGCTAATGACTATTTATACTAAGGAAAGCATTAACCTATCTATTATAAAGCATATAAAATGGAGAACTTGAATACAATCTTTAACGCACATACTTGAACCCAACATCCTCTACCACCCGGGAAAAGCCAACGTGGTAGCTAACGCTTTGAGCAGGAAAGAAAAGAGCGGAACTATTAAAGATGTGGCAATGAGAATGAATTTGGTTCCTGACATTCGTAAAGAAATTCAGAGATGTCAACAAGAAGCTATGAAAAAAGAATTTGTTAAAACAGAAAGGTTGGGTAAGATGATTTCAACCTTGGAACCGAATGACGAAGGACTAATGTGCTTTCAAGGGCAAACCTGGGTACCGTGTTTTGGAGATATCCGGAACACTATATTAAATGAAAGTCATAAGTCCCGATACTCTATTCATCCAGGTACCAATAAGATGTATAGAAATTTAAAACCTTTTTATTGGTGGCCTGGGTTGAAAAGGGACATAGCTAAATATGTGGAACAGTGTCTAACATGTCTACAGGTTAAGATTGAACATCAGAAGCCGTATGGAAGCCTTCAATCTTTGAAGATACCTGTATGGAAATGGGATCATATTACAATGGATTTCGTCATGAAGTTGCCTCGAACTCCAAAGGGGTATGACGCGATTTGGGTAATTGTTGATCGTCTGTCTAACTATGCGCATTTTCTGCCAATGAAAAAGAAGTACTCTCTAGAAAAGCTAGCACAGATTTACATTAAAGAAATTGTAACCAGACACGGAGTTCCATTATCTATTATCTCTGATAGAGATAGTCAGTTTACTTCAAAGTTCTGGGAAGGGTTGCAGAAAGCTTTGGGGTCTGAAATCCGACTAAGCACAGCTTATCATCCGCAAACAGACGGACAGAGTGAAAGAACTATCCAGACTCTCGAAGACATGTTGAGAAGTTGTATTATTGACTTCGGGGGATCGTGGGAAGATCACTTGCCATTGATAGAGTTTGCATATAACTATAGTTACCATTCCAGCATCCAAACGGCACCGTATGAAGTGTTGTATGGACGTAAATGCCGAACGCCGTTGTGTTGGAACGAGGTGGGTGAAAGACAACTGACAGGTCCTGAGATTGTCCAAGAAACTTCTGAAAAGATTGAACAGATCCGTGAAAGAATTAAAACAGCACAAGATCGCCAGAAAAGTTATGCTGATAATCATCGAAAGTCGATTGAATTTTGTATAAGTGATTTTGTGATGTTGAAATTTTCTCCGTGGAAGGGTGTCATCAGATTCGGAAAGAAGGGTAAGCTCAGTCCGAGGTATGTTGGGTCATTCAGAATATGTAAGCGAATTGGGTCAGTGGCATACCAGTTAGAGCTACCAGAAGAACTAAGTCTGATTCACAACACTTTCCATGTATCGAATCTGTAGAAATGTTTAGCTGATCAGAGTCTAGCTGTACCGCTGCCAGAGGTTAAATTAGACAGTAAGCTGAACTTTGTGGAAACACCAGAAGATGTAATTGACCGAAAGATCAGGGTGTTGAGAAACAAAGAGATCAGTCTGGTTAAAGTACAGTGGAAGTTTCACAAAGGACCAGAAGCAACTTGGGAATTGGAGTCTAAAATGAGATCAAAATACCCGTGGCTTTTTTATTAAAGAAATTTCGGGACGAAATTCTTTTAAGGGGTGGATAATCTGATAACTGGATCTTGGTTATCACCTGAGATAAAGAATACGTGATTATTTGTTATATATGATTACGTGACATCATGATAAATTGATATATTTGATCATGCTAGTATGTGCAATTATGTATATAATGTAGATGCATGTATGAGATTATGTGTATATGTGGATGCATATGTATGCATGATATATATATATATATATATAAATACACACACATGCATGATATAAGGATGCATGGGGTAGTGTGTGACCGCCTTCCTTGCTTGGGAAGGGTATAAAAGGGGTTGAAGCCCTCAAACCCATCTTCTTGCCATTTTTAGTAAGCGATTTATAGTGAGAAAAGAGTCTTGACCGGATTATTCCTGGGATTGAAGATCAAATTGATTTCAAGTGTGTGGTTTCAAAAAGATTTAAAGTGAGTGGTTTAAATTGCTTTTAAACTGTTTACAGTTGTATAATTGATTGTATAGCTTTTTCATCTGATTTGAAAGATAACCATTGAGGTGTTGTCCGGATTAGACTTAAACCAGCCAAGAGTCAAGTGGTTTAGTCTTAAACCGGACAAGGGTTGGGCGATTTAAGCCCTAAACCGGATAAGACTTGAGCGGATTATAGATAAATCGCTTGGTGAAGTTGTCCGGATAAACTTAAATCGGTCAAGAGTCGAGCGATTTATTCTTAAACCGGACAATACTTGAGCGATTTATGAATATTGAGATTATGTTTAACATTTTGAACGGAGAAGTAAGAATACGACTAAATGGTGACCGGTTTATTTTAATCGGACAAAACCTTGAATTATAAGTTGTCCGGATTGGTAAATCGGACAAGCTATATGAAGTATTGTCCGGATTTGTTATCCGGACAAGGTTGACCGGATTAATGGTAAATCGGACAAGCCTTGGGCGATTTGTTGTCCGAATTTGGTAAATCGGCCAAGACTTGACCAGAGATGAAGTCCGGCCAAGCCTATTTTGACCGGATTTGCATTTTGACTTGTTCATGGTTTATATATAATTATTCTTATATATAAAAGGGAAATTTTGAAAAAGATGATTTTCAAACTGATAATAATTCCATTGACTGCGGTCTAATTGTATATGGAATTGTTTTGTGAAATATTTTGATGAGGAAATAAGAGTGGCATTTCAAGGAGAGATGTACATTTGGATATAAGGGTGGCAATTGTATGTGTGATATATAATATAACTCTTACTATCATATCTCTTAAGATTATCGTGGTCTGGAATCCTTATTTCTTTGTGATTTAAAGATTTAGTATCAGGGTTCTTATTGGAAATCATAGTCTGAATGTTATAAAGAAGGAGATAACATGTTTGGCCTGAAACTTTGTATGAACCTTGTTTGAATAGAAAAGGTTTAAAAGTGGCACTATGTTAATTTGGTTAATATAAACCTGTTTAGAGTTGATGTATTATTTGCAAGCAAAGGTTATTGGCCTGAAAGGTGAAAGGTATTAATATTGTGTTCTCACTTGTTCATATATTTGATATATATATATATATATATATATATATATGAAAAGTTGTTTTATTTAAAAGTTTTGGTGATTATCACCCTGCAATGACATAAATAGAGTAACTCACTAGACCTTTCGGTCTAACCCTTGTTTTGTGATTTCAAATATGTATTGCAGGAAGTGCTGATGGTAAGGGAAAGGGAAAAATATAATAATTTCCCTATATGTTTATCTTAATGAAGATTGGTTGATAATTTGTATAGTTTTGGGAAATGTAACTGGATTAGTGCAAGAATTGTATTTTGAATTTTTGGACCATGTATTTGTTTTGGTAGATTCTTGTACTAAGGGACCTTGTGGTGTACAAACATGTATTTCAAGCATGATAGCTATAGAAGTGAGCTGAGCTGTTAAAGCATATACATCATGAATACCAACGGTCTTCTTTTCTGGTTGGGCATGTGGATCATCTCAATGTCCATTCTTTATTGAAATCTTTTCAAGGATTTCATACCTGTCATTATAGGTACTAGCTGTAAAGGCCCCTCCTGATGTCGCATCGAGCATCTGTTTAGCCATGGGATTTAACCCATTGTAAAATGTCTTAAGTTGAATACAATAAGGAATGCCATGGTGAGGGTATTTTCTTAACAGCTCTTTGAACCTCTCTCATGCATCAGGAACTGCTTCATCGTCCAATTGTTTTAAAAAGACAGATTTCGTTTTGAGACTTAGCATTCCTCGTGGGTGGAAAATATTTTCGCAAAAATTTTCCAGCCATATTATTCAATGATGGTATAGAACCTGGTGGTAATGAGTTAAACCAAGATTTTGCCCGATCTCATAAAGAAAACGGAAACAAAGTAAGTCTTAAAGTAGTGTTAGGCTTTCCCCAGATCAAGAAAGAATAAGTGATTTCCATGAAAAAATTTAAATTTGAGTGAAAATCTTTGATGGTAATCTAGCAAATTATCCATTTGTTTGCAACATATGGAACATGATGGATTTTAGCTCAAAAAGAAGGCTTGTCATATGAGGCCTAACTATCCATGAGTTCACTTGCTCAAAATCACAGATAGCATAGTCCATAATTCTTCCAATTTTAAAATTTGAAAGATTGATTATATTTGGATCCTGAACCCTTGGTTGATCATTATTTTTAGATTTTGTGTCATTATTAACCAAATCATTTCACTGTGTGGTGGTCCTTGTGGAAAAGCCTGAAATTGTGGTATTGGTACAAAACCAGGTGATTGATTTTCCAAATGTGGCAGTGATTGAGGTGGTATATTTGCAACAAATGGGAGAGGTAACACCATATTGGGAGGAGGGAGAGCAAAAAATGTTCTTTGTGCCCTCCTTCTTTGGTGGAATGTTCTCTCAATATCAGGATCAAATTCGGGAAACTCCCCACTGTGTATCCTTAGCATACACCACTTCTAAATGATTCAAACGGTGTTAGATTTATTAAAAAGAACTATTAGCTTGCAAATCCCCGACAACGGCACCAAAAACTTGGTATGATGCTCTTATACACCCTTAGACATATTGAAAGGAACCACAAAGCAAGTATAAAATATGGTCCAATACGTCTTTTCCAAGTAATAAAGTGGTAAATTACCGGTTATCGTCCACATATATTGTAGCAAAATCCTAAGAAAAGTCTAATGAAAGAAATGATTTCAGATGGCGATTTTGAAGATTTGATTGGTTTGAACAAACAACTTAAGATAACATAATATATAAAGGTAGCATGGGTGTAAGACTTGTGATGAGACTTAAACACAAATTCCAGCAGACAATGTTGTAGCAATGCCACATTATGCAGTCAACAATGACTTATTCTACCATCTATTTTGAAGGTATTTCTCTCGGATTTCCACCATAGCACATATATTAAAGCTTTCAACCCATATATCTATGTGGTATGTAGACCAGTGGTGTAAAATGGTGTTCTCAAAATATATGGATAACAAATCTTTTTGTTAAAAATCATTCTCTCGAGCTGATTTTCATATTATTCAAGTTGGTGTGTGTTCTAAGTAGTTCATCTCTGAATCTACTGCACTTTAACACTTTAACAAGTGACAAACCCGTCGAGAATTAATTAGTTTGAAAATATAAATGACAAATCTCTTTGTCAGCAACTCTCTTAAGTCTACTTCTCATATCATTCAAATTGGCGTGCATTCAATAACTTATCTCTAAGACCATGACACTTTAACACTTTCAAAGTGATCAACTCATCAAAAAGTGTCATTGATTTTTATAAATCTTGAATGAAATAGTGGAACGTTGTTATTGCAAAATAACACCCACTTTTCTTCGATTTAAAATCTCACTCTTTGCCTCAGACCTAAGCTAATGGAATTAAGTACTCATTCGGGAAAAAAAATAACAAGAAATGTAAATGAAAAAAAATTAAAGACATAAAAATAAATGACTAAATGTAAAGAGCGGAAAGTAAATTGTAAGGAAAGTAAAGAAAACTAGACAAGATGTAATGTTGTAGCAATTGAATGTAAAATGAAATAATATAAAAGAAGTACTTGAATTGACGTACAAAGTCAGATACAATCTGATTGAGGATGATTAAAATGAGTTCCAAGAGCCTCTATTTATACTAGGATAGAGGAGGAAAAGTCAAAATGCATTGAGAAGATAAAGTTCCTAAAATGTGAACAAAAAGTACAAAAGTACATTAAGAGCAATCATAACAAGTATACAAGGTACTATCTCTAGAATCTTCTCCAATATCATCGGTCTTTGCCTACAAAATTTTGTCTTCATGTACGCACATCAGTGAATCCATAAAGCATGTCCAAAAATTCGCACTACAAAGACCAATGCTACATGAATGCTGCAACATAGAAATAGTAGGCATACATGTTCAAATTAGTCATATTGTAAAAACAGGTAAATCACTTAATTTAGCTCGATGAATGAACAAATTGAAAATAACATAATAAAAAAAGACTCCAAGTTGGGATTAAAAGCAAATAAACTACCTAAAAGTAAAGAAACATGTGTTTTATGCCTTGAATAATAATCAATGCATATAATATAGTATTCCCAGGTTTTTAAGATTGTTCATTGTCCCTCTTACCCTTTTATGTATAAGTTTTAACTTTATTAGACCTGAATATATATATATATATATATATATATATATATATATATATATATATTCAGGTCTAATAAAGTTAATATCGAACATTTATGTTGGTTGTATTTGGCTTCATCTTCTAATTGGGTTAACCTTCAAAGTCATGGTTTAGATCCTCAAAAACAATTTCTCATTGGTGCATCAAACAAAATTGTTACTATTCTCTATTTTAGGATGTCTACTTAACAGTATTATTTCAATTATTTTGCAAGAACAAGAAGAAAACAAAGAAAACAAAAGATCTGTTGAATTTCAAGTAGTTAGTTTCACCAAAAAGATACGGAGACTTACTTCACATTTGGAATTGCACAAAAAAGACTATTTATCTCAGAGAGGTCTGCGGAAAATTATGGGAAAACGTCAAGCAACAACCCAACTTTTAGAGGAGTATTTCATCTTTAATTTGAATTTGAAGCGAAAGACTCGTAGAGCTTTTTAGTTTTGTTATTGTTTCCGTTTAAGTTTAAATCGATGTCGTTTGAAGCTTTTAGTACTCTTCGTGCAGGTTGCTACATCAATCATTTTACATTCTCATAGCAATTTGCTATTCTTGTCATTTACTTTAAATGTCTTTACATTTATGTATTATATTTAATTTCAATCAATGATGGGCTAAATACCCTAACTTGGGTATATGAGGGAAGGTTGGAAGAATGTGCCAGTGAATAATTGCTTTCACAATATCTATTTATTGCATTAGTCACTTTAAACTTTAATGTTTCATTTCGAAAATCTTTGACAAGTAGATAATATGTTGTTTTGGCCAAAAGAGTTAGTTGAGTTCAATGAAACCGACCAAACATAAAGGTTTAGAGAGCTATAGAAATACTGGTGCTTAATCTGAATCTCAAAAGAGATCCATAGTACGAATCAAGTTATGGATGCAACACCTATAAGGTCATGCTGTAGTATGGTTCATTGGTACATTTAAGCCAAGAGTGTCATCATGTGAAAACTTGATTTTTAAATAACAACCCAAGAGTGTCATTTGGATTTTTCTATTAGTTTATTGAGATATATATATATATATATATATATGAAGTTTTAATAAGTTTAGTTAATAAAAACTTAAATAAAAGTTGACATAGCCAAAGAATTAGGACTATCTTTTTTTTCTTTTTCTTTTAGGTTTTTGTTTTGCTAATATAGCACAGATGTAGTAGCACATTTTGAGGCTTTTGAAAAAAAAAAACAAATCACTGTATCCAAAGGTGCAAAAATGTGAAAGTGTTTCTGGAATAGTATAGTAATATTGATTCAGGAAACATGGCCAAGGGGATCCTTCTTTTCACCTTGGTTCAAGAAGATATAGCAAGCAACTAACTTACTTGATTTAGGATCAAGGAAAAAACATTTGTTGCTGATTCTTTTTTAACATGGTTCATCCTTGAGCTATTTGGTTCAGTCAGCATCTTGCACAACCCAAGCTATCATCCTTATTTGTTGCCTGGTTCTAACCATTCTCAAGGTACTGAGCTATACCCATTGTCACCATAAAGTACATGTGCTTCATTTGGTCACAACTTGGCTCTTTTACTTCATGCTTCAACATATTCCAACCTAATTCTCCATCAACACACATACATACACCCCAAAGATCAAAGCAACAAACGGCCTAATAACTTCAGATTCGTCTTAAAACCATGGTGAAAGTTATTGGTTGTCCATGACTTTGAGCTCACAAATCTACTTCTTCTATCCACGTGGGACATACCCAACACATCTCTACACACTTTATATTTGATTATTTGAAGCAGCACCTGGGGGTAAATACTTGGCACATTTGAAGCCAACCACACATATGTTCCATTTATGCAATTACAAAACCAGAATTAAACACTTGCATTTCTCCTCTAAGATTAAATTCAGCAAAGTTAACCACCTTAAATTTCATTTTGGACACATGTTTCACAGGATAGGATCGATAAACATTGAGATATCTGAGTTTCATGTAGCAACTGATTGAATAGTTGGCTCTTGTTATGTCCAAACAGCATAAACAGGATCTAGCTATTCATGCAAAACCACCAACCCATTTATAATTGCTAATCAGAGTGCAAAGTTTGTTGAATATGTGCTGAAAATCTTCAACCACTGCATTAAATGATTTCTTCAAATAACCAAAACTACTTCCTTCCTCTGTTGAGCCTCTGCAAGTGATAATTCAGGGTTCCCCAGGGTTTTCTTTTTTTGCCGGTCTGCAAAACAACAGTCACAACTAGATGCGTTCAACAAATGTCTTAGGTTTTGCTAAGTAGTTGCTACAAGTAATCATGGTTGTAGTGATCTAGGATTGTTGGTGTATAGAATTCAATATAAAATGATCACCTGAGCCTCCAAGCAGGTATCTAGTTGCTGGCGTTGACGAGCACACTTTTCATCATTGTTATGATTAAGGGACAAACAGCCAAGAAATGTTATCATATCCTTCATACAAGGTTTTGAGAGACCCCCAAATTTCTTTGCATTTATATGAAGCTCACCAGATTTTCGGCCCATGTTTTCCACGTATGATCTACAACATGAACCGATAACAAGACTTTAGGTACTTGAATATCAATAAAAGATGATGACCATTAAGAAGCTGTGACAAATACCCATTCAAATTTCCACATGCTCTACAAAGATCTACTTCTGCTTAGAGTATGACAGTCCTCTCTCTTGGGCTGATAGCAGGATTCAATTACTGGTTTAAACAAGCAAGCTAGCCCGTGAGCCAGCAGATTCCATGCATTCATGCAAACATACATACATACATACATATATATATATATACATGCAAATATTCATGCAAATATACATACATACATATGTATGTATATATATATATATATGTATGTATGTTTGCATGAATGCAAACACACACACACATACATAGGCGAAGGATCGTGTGAGAAAAAGAGCTAATGTGAGAAGCGTTAGAAGAGATCTGAATCCTTGATCACTTTTAATCGCATACCCACCCATAAATTGCGCTTTTTAGAAGGGAATTGATCTGGTGCATCTCGGTGCACCTCATTAATGTTGACATTCAATTAGGATTGATCCAAGGGTGGAGATATCTTCTTACGCTTCTCACCATAACTTCCCTTCTCACTACAACCTAACCCTACATACATACATACATACATACATACATACATACATATATATACATACTAGAAGGGTACTCGCACAATACAGCGAGATGCATCTCAATTTTATTGTTTCCTTTTATTCTCAGTCTATTGATATAATACAGTTTTATATGGTTTTGAGAAAGTGATAATGTTTTTATTTTTAAATAAAATATAAATTTGAAGATATTGTAATTAAAATTTAAAAAAAAATGGATATTAGTATCAAATTAACTATTTAAAAG